ACTGCACGAAATTGAACCCTGGAACGAATACAACGCATGCATGATTCCTGCCTGTCAGTTTTCAGGGCGTGCTCCGTACGTTAGATGGTCGTCAGAAAGCGTACGAACTTGTGTAAAGGCATCCGGTGCACTCGCTATATTGTCGAATGGATTATGGACCGATGTGATGCTCTGGTTGAGCTCAACCGATCAGCGATGCATCGTGACGATAAACAGGTTGGGGATCGGTACCTGAAAGGCGACCGCTCATCTGATTACGAAACGACAAAGGTGTAATGTGGACACCTGACAAGGCATTCAGGACATCGACGTCGACAACCGTGCACGGTGCACAGAGAACGACCCCCCCAAAAGCAAAGATGTCATCGACACAACGTCGTACGCCAATAAGACGCTCATATTTTGGTGCTTTCCGGACATAATGGCACGATGAGCACATGATTTTGGAAAATAAAGATCCCCTACGCATTCCCTGATCAAATCCACTCTCTGCTCTGGAGTTGGAAATGCGACGAGCCCTTCCGTTGCTTCGCTTGAATTTGCTGGGCCAAAATGGCAAAGTTCCGCAACAAACTGAAAACTTTAGGAAACTTTATGATGGGTTTATCCTGGGCTCGGAAAGGTCTCCCCTTTCAGCCCAATTGTATTACCCAGGCCTTGTTTAGATCATCTCCAAATTCTAAATTTTTTTATTTTCTTTGTCACATTAATTTTTGGACACATGTATGGAGCATTAAATATAGATAAAAAAATAACTAATTACACAGTTATAAATCATAAGATGGATCTTTTGATCCTAGTTAATCCATGATCGGATAAAGTTTGTTAAATATAAATGAAACATGCTACGATTGTTCAGGTTGCAAAAATTTGCAATCTAAACAAGATCCAAGCAAGGAAAAAGAACTGGGCTTAGCCCTGCGAGCACCCGGGGCCAGGAACCGAAGGAGGGAGGAGTCGTGTGTGTCTGTGCGGCTGTGCCATGGCGGCCGGGTCAGACCCTGCCTTCCCGGCGTCGGTGCCGCCGCCGCCATCGAAGCGGCGAAAGATCGAGCCGCCTAGGAGGTACCAGTTTTGATCACCCTCCCAAGTTCTCGCGAGATTCCTAGCTATATTTGTTGCGACTGCTACGTGCTCCCAAGTCCCAACGCTCTGATTTAGTGGACGCCCATGCCTGATTTCGTCCGAACGAGCTGCGCTGCCCCTTCTAGTTTCGATGAGTGGACTGGAGAGGCTCCGTCCTAGCTAGTGGAGTGGGCAGATGGCTACAAGTGTAGCTTTCTTTTAGGCAAGAGATTCCGGACTAGGCATCCCGTGGGCATCCTCATACGTTAGGTTTTGGTGTTCTTCAAAAGGGGGGCTCCGTCCTAACTAGTGGAGTGGGCAGATGGCTACAAGTGTAGGTTTCTTTTAGGCAAGAGATTCCGGACTAGGCATCCCGTGGGCATCCTCATACGTTAGGTTTTGGTGTTCTTCAAAAGGGGCTTTGGAGTGTGGCAATGTGTGTGTGATCTTCCGTATTTCGGCAAAAAGTCCCCATATTCGTGTGGAACCTTCCTTTTGCATTTCTGCCAATATGTCTGCACCTGCTAGGGCATCGGCCATAGCTGAGTAGCATAGATGGTATTGGGTGATTTGTGGGCACAGGTATGAAGAAGACCAGTGCATTTTCCCCCGAGGGGTCCTAGTGATTTTCTTTTTCAGACTCGCATGATCCTGCCTGAAGAGTCAAGCAGGCTGTATTGTCTAATACTCTGCTTGATTGCTTGTGCAACGCTATTTGTTGCCAGGAAAGGGAAAAGTAACTCTTCTACCTTTTGTTTTGTCCATTCTTACATACCTCTGTTAAATCCAATTGTGGATTGTACTCTGTAGACTGTTGTGCAAGTCAAATAGGTTTCTGCTTCTTCTAGTCATTATCCTCATTAATCCATTGAACCAGAACCATCTATCCTGTCAGTTAACTTTCCATTGTGTGTTGTAAATTTAAGTATCAGTATTGGGTTATCTGGAGGGCATATCTTAATATAGCCTAAAATAACAAAAGGAAAAATTTCATGCTCTGTAGTTCCTTCTCAGGTAGCTATGCCAAGCCAAATAGGTTTGTGCTTCTCAGTCAAGACAAGACAAAACACGTTATTCTGTTATTGAACATCACATCAAATGTCTTTTTTGATCATTGTTACTGTTAATACATTAACTACTCGAGTGGGCTACAAATGGCACCCATGATTTAGTTGATGATTTGACGCCGTGATAGTGCCAGTCAAATCTATTCTATCTTCAGCCATTTTTTTAACAGTTACCAATCCACAAGCAGCAAAACTGTACTGAACTACGGAGTATTGTGTTGCCTGTTGCATAATTTATCTTGTTCTCTGGAACACAGGGCCAGGCCTTCTCAAGTTACCCTAGATAAGGACAAGTCGGTAGCATCTTCCAACTCATCGTCGGTATGCCCTGACACGTCCATTGGCAATGGCCGCTTTCTCTCCTGTTTCTTGATATTCCCTCCTAACATCCTTTCTTGATGTGAACAACACTTGCAGATTCCAGGTTCGCTGCCAGCGAGAGTTGATCTCAACAAACTTAGAGAGGCAAAGCGATTTGCTGTCCTTCAAGCGCAGCGTGAGGGGTGCCTTGGAAGCTATAAAAGCTTCGATTCCCTCTTTGGGAATTACCTTGTTCCTGTCATCCCAACGAACGACTTCTTTGATCAGGTCGGGACCAAACCATGAACAAGAATGGCAACTTTGTAAGGCTGTGAATACCAAACAGGATGACCCTCCTAATTTTTGCAACTTCCTTTAAGAGCGCGACCTGATACCGCAACTTTGTAAGGCTTTGATTACCGCTCAGAGTTAAGTGATACCAAGCTGCATGTGATGTTGTACGTATGCCCCCCAACTTGCAAGATCTCGACAGCGACAAAAGGTAAAGATTTTCCAGCACAGCTGCAGATCTAAGCGGTGAAAAAGCTTTGGTATTGTGGCGAGCATATGTTAGTGTGTTAGCTTTCTTTTTTCTAGTGGGAATTTGTATCTGGTCCTTGATATCACCCCACCCGGCCTCTGAGGAATGCACATCTGGATTCAATCATTTTATTCTCGTATTCCTCTCTCGTCACGAAAACCTCCTCTTCAATTATTGATGGTTTTTTTTTTTCCAGCCCTTTTGTCTTATACACACCAAATGAAACAAATAACACAAATCTCCAAGTGTCGTCACTCGTGCAACGTGTCTGATCTATCTTACATGATTTGTCGATCTGCTAATCTGCTACCATTTGCCATCTGAGTGAACCAAACAAAAGCAGCCAATGAGGCCAAGCTGTTCTTGCATGTGTACATCTCGTGGCCTGACTTTTAAGCCACTCGTTCTGCAAGTACAGTCTTTCTTTTGTTTACTGAATATCACTTGTATCACTTGCTTTGCAAGGACAGACTCCGTTGTTTATAAGAACAAGAGCTTTGTCCTTCAGAAGAGCGAAGGCACAACGACAGTCGACAGAGAGAGCATCTTGCTCGAGTCTAGGAGTATGACTGTAGTAATCTGTGCCCGAAAGCTGCATGACAAGTGACATTGGACCCCGGACGTTAACGAGTGCCATTGTGCCAATCGTGGAAGCACGGAGCCACTGCAATACCAGCCCGCAAGCAGCGGGAAACCGTGATGATGGCCGTGAGCCGGTCCCGTGAACATTTCTCAGTGACGCTTCAGTTCTTTGGCTTGCGGCGGCGTGCGGGGGACGCGTCACGCGTCCCATCCTTGCACCCACCAGTCGGTCGCCCGCACCTCGTTAGGCGGTGTTTAGTTGGGCTAAGTCTGCGCAGACAAATTTTGCACAGTGAAGATTTTCTACCGTAGTATTTCGTTTGTATTTGTGAATTATTGTTCAAACATTGACTAATTAGGCTTAAAAGATTCGTCTCGCAAAGTTAAAGCAAACTGTGCAATTAGTTTTTGATTTCATCTACATTTAGTACTTCATGCATGTACCGCAAGTTTGATGTGATGGGAAATCTTCTTTTTGCATAGTACACTTTTCAGGAGTTTGGAGGAACTAAATAAGGGCTTAAGGACTTGGAGCAGGACCCACCTGTCGGTGACGTCGGGCGCGACTGCCTAGGGCGCTATGTTTGTCCTTTTGCGAGCGGCCACGGACCACGGTCCACGGGCACGGTTGGCGCGCCGTTCGCGGCGGTCCTTGACCCCACGCCACGCGAGATGGTGGGCTCCGCTCCTCGCCGTGGCCAGCGCGCGCGCAAGGCCGCATGGCCATCGGCGCAACCGTTACTGTGTCGACACGCCCGCGTCAGCGCTCGTGTCGTTACGTCAGCTTCCCCTCCTGTGGGCCCTCCCGCACGTGCCCCCATTCTTCTGTCTCGTTCGGACACGGTTAACTAATCGCTCCGTCACGTTGACATGTGGGCCTGGGTAAGGGTTCCTGACGGGTTTAGTTGCAACTGATTGTTTTTAGCGCGTAGCAGCTGGTAACTTTACGGACACACCCCTGGCTCTTCGCCGGAAATATGTCACTCGCTTCTGCTCCTGCGCTCGACCGTTAACCTCTCTCGCCAGTTTTTGACACATAAGACCTCAGGAAACACCTCTTATTATGACCCGAACCCAGGGCATGCCATGCACGAAGCACCATCTCTTATCCCACGAACGAGGATCCATACCGTCAGCGCCCAGGACAACCAAATCGCGGCCGTCCACACGCAAGGGTACATCCGTAAATGTTCCAAAGGGCGAGGGGGATTTATTCCCTGGGAAAACGCCCAACTCGTGGCTCTCGTCCCACCCCCACTCCCACTCCCACTCCCACGCTTCCGCGAGCGGAGAAAGAGCCGGAGACGACAGAAGCGAGGGGAGAGAGAGAGAGGCGGTGGGCTTGCTGTGGCGTAGCTCGCGATCAGGGCGCCGAGCTGGTCCGTACTTTACTTGGGTTGGTCGCGCGGCTCGGTCGGGAGGCTAGGGCTCGGCGGTCGGTCGCGATGGGGAAGGGCGCGGTCGTGGGGGCGGCTGTGGTGGTGGGCGCCGCGGCTGCCGCGGCGGTGGGGGTGGCGATGGTGTCGTTGTCGCGCAGGAGGCGTCGGCAGCGGGAGGCGGAGGACGAGAGGAAGAGGAAGGCGGCGGCGGTAATCGAGGAGGTGGAGCAGCGGTTCTCGACGCCCACCGCGCTGCTCCGCGGCATCGCGGACGCCATGGTGGAGGAGATGGAGCGCGGCCTTCGCGCCGAGCCCCACGCACCGCTCAAGATGCTCATCAGCTACGTCGACAACCTCCCAACCGGGTAAGGGATCCTCCGCGTCCGCGTGGATGTGGCCACAGGCCCACAGTGTCCGTTTCTTGTTCTTATGTCGCGCGGTCTTCCGATCGATCCCCTGGGGTATTCAGGTTTCGATTAGGTGGAAATGTCTGTCTGTCCCAGATTGGATACGGTGCTTTGACGTGGTTTCGAGCGGAACACTGTTGTCGGGATGCTGGTGTGATTCATATTTCGTTTTTGCTTCGCATGTTGTTGAATGCGTTCGGCCTCCAATCTTCAGTTTGAGTGTAAATCCGTTTACATGTTATTTGGGTTGGCGAGGTAACTAAGGTAGTAATAAGGTGAACAGTTATGGGTTTGATGTTTAATTTGTCCCAGCCTCACAGATCATTCCAAAACTACAACGTCTTCTTTTAATAAATATATAAATGAAGCTTTCGTGTTTCTGGCTACAACGTCTTCTTTTAATAAATATATAAATGAAGCTTTCGTGTTTCTGGCTGTACCCACATGTTGGACTCACCTCCACGGAGGACCATGATATCGTCCTTTCTACGTCATGGCTAATGTCTAAAGTCTCATTTAATATTAGCACCACCTTTCCGGTACTGCCTCTGTCACCAAATGTTTGGCACTATTATATTGAAACATGTAACATGTAGTGTCAACCATTGTAATCGTGGACACAAGATATTTTTCTATGTGGTTAGAATCACACACACAAAACGCAAATATAATATGGTTATGATACTTTTTAAGAGATACTGTATGTTGCAATAAAAAGTTACGCCAGTTACATTTATAGAGCACAATTTGCTGATGAAACATGTGGTTCTTACTTCGTGAAGTCTTCCTTTGTCGTCTCAACTGATGTTACTATCTTGTTTAATGATTTGTGTCATCCTGCAGGGATGAACAAGGACTGTTTTATGCACTGGACCTTGGCGGGACCAACTTTCGTGTCATACGGGTTCAACTTGGAGGAAGGGATAAACGGGTTGTGAAGCAACAATATGAAGAGGTCTCCATCCCGCCTCATCTTATGGTTGGAACTTCTACGGTGAGTTGTTGTACTATCTACGGTGAGTTTAGGTAACGCATAAGTTTGTCGTACACGGTAATGCATTTAAGAGATCAATGTTGCAATTCACCTAGGAGCGTTGCTCATTGGCAGTCACTCACTAGTAACGGAAGTAGTGGTCAATCTGACGAAGCATCACACTTGCCTTTTTTAGCTAAACGTCGCTTTGATGGTCTACTTGTCGGTTGCTCCCCATGACCGGTGCTTTCCCTCTTTGGCTATTTTCGTCACAAACATGGTTCATCAGCAACCCACGCACAAGTTGCCTTTTCGGGAGTTTGATTTTCCTGGTCACGTATTTCTCCTCTATCTTTACTTACAAAACATTGTTGCTATATAAACAAATCTATATATAAACAATGATTATGTGAACAAATTCGTATTTACAAAAGTTACACGGAAAAAATGTATAAAACAAAAATTCATAACTTATATACAAAACTATGTAGAAAAGTTAAATACATAAATTTCGTTTTGTAACATATAAGGTACACACTTAGATTCCTGATACTATCCGTGCAATTGCAGGGGCCACCCCACTAGTTTCATGTCTCCTGTATCAGCATGCTTTATTGACACTTCTCAAAGCATGATTACAGGAACTGTTTGATTTCATTGCTGCTGAGTTGGAAAAATTCGTGCGGACTGAAGGAGAAGATTTCCACCTACCAAATGGCAAGCAGAGAGAACTGGGTTTCACCTTTTCTTTCCCAGTGCACCAAACATCTATATCATCAGGGACTCTAATTAAGTGGACCAAAGGCTTTTCCATCAATGGCACGGTAAAAGCAAGAATATTTTCTGTTTACACTTTGTTGACTACATTGCTTATTTATATTACCATTGCCTTGACCAGAAGCTGACTATGACACCAACATATGGATTTCTTTCTAATTACTACACATTTTTCTTGACCATACATTGTGTCAATTTAGCTTGTGCATTTCATTTTGACACATCTTATTAAATTCACAATGGAGTAGTCTTTACCTATTCATGCTGCTTTTTTTGTGGAACTTCTGACACAAATAACCCTACTTTTTCATTGAGAAAAATAGATCTATGTCTTAAGATTACATTAAAACACAGTATTGATTTTGTTGATTCCTATGAGCAGGTTGGAGAAGATGTTGTGGCTGAATTGAGTAGGGCCATGGAAAGGCAGGGTCTTGATATGAAAGTTGCAGCTCTGGTAGTTAAATTAATTTGTTCACTATTTATCATCTCAAGTACTTGCATCGCATGCCCTATGTTTTACACCTATACTATAGAATTTGTCATTTCCTTATGCCTTCCGCTGTTGCTTTCAGTTCCTTGAGATGCTTTATCTTGATGTCTAGCAAAGGTCCGTTGGACACATTAGAAGTAAAGACAACATCATGTAAACTGACAGGTAACATTTTGTACAGGTTAATGATACCGTAGGCACATTGGCTGGTGGGAGATATGCTGATAATGATGTTGTTACTGCTGTAATATTGGGCACTGGCACAAATGCAGCTTATGTGGAACATGCAAATGCGATTCCTAAATGGACCGGACTACTGCCTAGATCAGGGAATATGGTAAGTGTTTAACTTCCATCAAGTTAGTGGAATTTTAATAGTCTTTGGAGGAACTGAGCTAGTTCAGTTGGTGCGAGGTGTGGTTGTGCGCCCCACCACTCAATGCAACTCCTCTTCAACTCGAATTTGGGTGCATATTTATTCTTATTTACAATGCCACCTAGTTCCTACTAGGTTGGTCGAGTTTTTATTTTAAATTATCTTTTGGGCCTTGTTAAATTGTATTCATCCAACATAAGTTTGGCATTCTGTATTTTTACTATTTTATTATTTTCTCGCCAGTTAATGATGTAACATTTGGTTCTTTTGGAATGCTACAGGTAATCAACATGGAATGGGGAAACTTCAGGTCAGATAAACTTCCAAGGTCGGAGTATGATAAATCCTTGGACTTCGAAAGTTTGAACCCTGGTGAGCAGGTATGCCTATTTAATCTATGCAGCTGTTTATTTTAAAATTCAATTTTTTTCCTAAGTTTAAGTCGCACATTTTATGCACTGGATCAAATCCAATCAGATTATACACCTATCTGCATACAGATCCAATTGTCCCAAAGGTTGACTCAGATTTTAGGGGGCAAAAGTGACTAATGAATAGCAAAACCATTAATCTATATTGTTCTAATAACTATATTTGGTGGTGGAGTCGTGTGTACATGACTCCACCCAGCAGGGTTTAAATCCTGGGTGTGCACCTATTTGGATGTTTGTGGAGTAAAACATTTGGGTGTTGAACTTGAACATAACCTATGTGCTCTTTTGTCAGATATATGAAAAGATGATTTCTGGAATGTATCTTGGAGAAATTGTGCGGAGGATCCTGCTGAAACTGGCTCATGATGCTTCATTGTTTGGGGATGTTGTTCCTCCGAAATTGGAACAGCTATTTATACTGAGGTTTACTTTCACGTTCCATCCACTCACGATATTGATTTTCTTATATTTGTAGGATACACAAAAAAAGATCCAAAATCAACTTATATAAAGGTGCACACATATTTGCACAACCTAGAGTCCAATCATTTTGATAGATTGTGGATATAATTGGGCAGTTTTATGAGTTCTACCGTGCATCTGAAGTTCAAAATTAGAAAGCTCACCCACGTAGAGGTTCCAGATTGGAAACTGAAGTCATAAGACTTAAGGCTTTGATAATGTTCCTCTCACTTTCTTTAAAATGTTTATTTACATGTCCAATCATTAAATTAACTGAGAGGTAATTTGGTGCAATCTCCCTACTTATTCAGTCTTTTTTTAAGCACGTGGACTACAAAATTTAATTCCCTGACCTTTTATATCTTGGAAATTGGAATTACCACTTTCAGTTTAAGTTATGAATGAAACTGAGGCCCCGTTTGGTAGGGCTCCTCCTTTTTTCTCACAATGTGGCTCCTCCAAAACGGTTCCGGCTCACCAAACAACTCTCTCTCTCCACCCAGTCTAATCAGCAATTTTGCAAATCCACCTCTTTGGGACGATGTTAAGATCTTTGTAGTCCCAAACATATAAAATTCTAAACTTACTCCCAGAGTAATGAAAAAAAAAATCAAAATTCTCCTTGGACTGCCCATCTAGACCTTTAAAATCACACTCATAGGCTAATTTAAGAAGAAACTGAAGAAGTGAAAATGGCAATCGTGGTTTTCTTAGTGTAAATCTTGTTGTATGAGCACATGGTCCAAGTTGTTTACCGTGTATCGTAGATTACTTAAAAAGGTTATCCAACAAACTTGTGAAGCAGAATTGTAAGTCTTGTGTAACAATAAAAACTTTTCTGAATGAAATTGCAATTGTGATATGACAGGACGCCAGATATGTCAGCCATGCATCATGACACCTCACATGATCTCAAACACCTGGGAGCTAAGCTGAAGGATATTCTGGGGGTAATGATGATACAAATGTTCAAAAAAGGGTATTGTTAGATACAATCTTCAATGATAATTGGTTCCTTATGTGTTTTGTTTCTACTTATTTTAGGTTGCTGATACTTCTCTCGAAGCAAGATACATTACTCTTCATGTGTGCGACCTTGTCGCAGAGAGAGGTGCACGCTTGGCTGCTGCTGGTATATATGGTATTCTGAAGAAGCTGGGCAAAGACAAATTGCTGTGTGACTTTAGTCAACAAAGGACTGTAGTTGCTATTGATGGTGGCTTATATGAGCATTACAAGAAGTTCAGTGCCTGCCTAGAAGCGACACTCACAGACCTGCTCGGTGAGGAGGTTGCCTCATCGGTTGTTGTCAAGTTGGCCAACGACGGCTCAGGAATCGGAGCTGCACTTCTTGCAGCCTCACACTCCCAGTATGCTGAAGCTGCATAGATCTAGGAGCTCGGCTCCTAGTGTAACCTTTTTTGTTTTCCTCCCTTTTTCCCTTTCAATCGCGAGCCCCCCTCTTGCGAATGTGCGATTCGCATCTCTCTCTTTTTGCCTCAGCAGCGGGGTACAGCTAGGATGGTGCCATTGAGCTTGGAGTACATTATCACTAGCATTAGCAACGGCAGAAAAAGGTGGAAGCGGAGGTCTGAATAAGCCGTTCCATTCCTGCCGATTCTTTTTTCCCCCAATCCCTTGAAGTTTGTATTATGATGCGATATCACAAAACAACCGGTTCTTATCTGTGTGATCTTGTCTTCCAAAATAAAGAGAGAGGTGGGGGACTCAGTTTTTTTCTTGAATGTGCAGAGCTCCTGCCTTTATTTCAGAAACAATTACAATAGTAATATTTGTTTGTTATGTTTGATTGGTCTAATGTATGTGTGATTTAATAGAAATTTACTGTGTGAAGCCCCACAAAGGCCATGGTGACAAGTTATGATTAGTGTGCTAAAATGTACTAACAGAAGTATCTCTATATCTGTCGACTGACGCTGTCCAGACTTACTGTACTGGCATGTGCAATGTTCGGTTCTTAGTCTTAGACCGTGCTGTCGAAGTCACTATTTTCTTCGATGTCATTTCCTGTTCCGTCCGACGGCTGTTTCCGGTGACTGCGTCGCTGCGGCAGCAGGAGAGGAGCCGCTTCGTACTCCTGGCCATTCTCCATTTTGCTCTTCTGGCGCGTCTGGTCGCTGCAATTGAGCAAGATTTGCAGCACGTCCTTCAAGGTTGGCCGCGACGACGGCATATCTGCGGTGCACAGCACTCCTAGGCTGAATACGACCTTGATCTCCTCAGAGTACCCTGCATACCTGATGCTCTTGTCTGTGGCATCGGGGATGCTCCCCCCTGATTGGTAGTGGTGCCGCGCCCATTCCACCAGGCAGCCGTGCTCGCCGCCGGCGCTGGCCTCCTGGCCGGTGGTGAGCTCCAGGAGAACGACGCCGAAGCTGTAGACGTCAACCTTCTCGTTCACCTTGTTCGTGTAAGCACACTCTGCAGACATGCAGCGTTTGATTTGAATTTGATACAGCAAATACTGCCCCCAAATTCTGTACAGAACAGGACCCAGCAAAATGGACAGGGCCGAAATCCATACCGGGAGCCATGTAGCCGAAAGACCCAGCGACGGCGGACATCGTTTTGGGTGCCCCGACCTCCACCAGCATCCTGGCCAGCCCGAAGTCAGCGACCTTGGCCCTGAACTCCGAGTCCAGCAGGATGTTGCTCGTCTTGACGTCGCGGTGAATGATGGGTGGCGAGCACTCGTGGTGCAAGTAGCATAGCCCCTGCGCGACGCCGACGGCCACCCTGAGCCTCGTCAGCCAGTCCAGCGGCGCCCGCCGCGCGGATGGCGTCCTGGCCGTAAGGAGCCCATCAGCGCTGGCGTTGTGGCCGTGGAGCCATTGGTCCAGGCTGCCGTTGTCCATGTAGTCGTACACAAGGAGCTTGGCCTCTGTGCCGGAGAGGCAGCACAGCAGCCTGACAACGTTGTTATGCCGGACGTTGCCGAGGATGCTCGCCTCCGACTCGAACTCGCGCTCCAGCTTCTCGTCCAGCGTCCCGGCGATCCGAATCTGCTTCACGGCAACCGTACCCGCGCTCCCGTTGAGACGGTTGGTGTAGGTGACGCGGTACACGTGGCCGGAACCGCCGCGGCCGATGAGGTTCTCCTCTTTCAGCTCCCGGAGTATGGACGCCTCCCCGAAGCCCAGATCCTGGACGAAAGGCGTCATCTTCCACTCGTCCTGGACCGCGACACGCGGCCGTTTCTTGATGTCGCGGACGAGTAGCAGGGCGAAGGCCGCCGCGGCGAGGAGCGCGCCACCAGCGACGAGGAGCCCCGTGCGGAGTGCATGCGAGACGCCTCGGGAAGAACCCCGGTCTTGCGATCCCGCAGCACAGGAGCGCACGCCGGCGGGTACCGGAGCCTCGGTGCAAAGGCCGGGGTTGTCGCGGAAGCTGTTGTCGTAGGCCGCCGTGGCGAACCCGATCGGGACCTGGCCGCTGAGGTTGTTGGAGGACAGGTTGAGGGTGTTGAGGTTTGGCTTCACAAGCGCCGGAGGTATGGCGCCGGAGAGCATGTTCGACGAAAGGTCAAGGACGCTGAGCACCGGCATGGCGCCCAATTCGGCCGGTATCGCGCCGCTGAGCTGGTTCCTGCTCATGTCCATAAACGTCAGCTGCCTCAGGCTAGCAACACTCTTGGGGATCGCGCCACAGAGTTGGTTGCCCGACAGGTTCAGTGTCTGCAGCAGCGGCATGCCGTCGCCAAGACTCGCCGGTACCGCGCCAGAAAACTGGTTGTTCTCGGCGGTGAACTCGTGGAGCATAACTGCTGAAGCCGGAATGTTGCCACCGAATTGGTTGTTCCCTATGTGTAGCGTCGTAAGGTGGCCAGGCATGGAGGCCGGAAGACTCCCGGTGAGCTGGTTACTCTGTAGTGATAGGAACTGAAGCTGCGTCGCTGTCCAGAGAGCCTCTGGCACGTCGCCGGTGAGCTGGTTATTGTCTAGGTCCAGGGTTACCAGAGTTGCGCAGTTGGCAAGGCCCGCTGGGATGGAGCCGTTCAGGTGGTTGTGCTCAGCGGTGAGGTAATGGAACTGGCCTCCGGCGCATAACCCTTCTGGAATGGCGCCAGTGAGCTCGTTGTCATCAACCTCTACATAACCCAAGCCCGAGTGCTTCCCGAGTTCCAGCGGAAGCGTGCCGGTAAACCTATTACTGTACAATCTCAATGTCCATAGAGACGGCAACCGGCCGATGCTCGCTGGTATCTGGCCTGAAAAGTTATTGCTGAAGAGGTGTAATTTTCTGAGGTTTTGTAAATGCCCGAAGACTTCCGGAATGACTCCACTAAGGTTGTTCTCGGAGACGTCAATTATGGTCAAGCTCTTTGCAGCAAAGCCATCGTCGACGCCCATGTCGCCGGTGAGTTTGTTCCTGAACACTGTCATCTTTTGCAATTTCTTCAGGCTCCAAATCCCCGGAGGTATGCTTCCTGTCAACGAGTTCTCCGAGAGGTCCAGCACCTCCAACTCCTGCATATCCGCTAAATAGCTCGGGAAGTCACCGACGAGGTTGCAGTGCGCCACCCAGAAGCTGACTAGATTTGTCAGGTTCTTGACTGACGCCGGCAGCTCGCCAGGGGCGAACGGGTTGAACGCCAACCACAACGTCTGAAGCCTCGTCAGACTCCAAACCCCCGGAGGTATGCTTCCTGTTAACGAGTTGTTAGAGAGGTCCAGCACCTCCAACTCCTGCATATCCGCTACATAGCTCGGGAGGTCGCCGACGAGGTTGCAGTGCGCCGCCCAGAGGCTGACTAGATTGGTCAGGTTCTTGAATGATGCCGGCAGCTCGCCAGGGGCGAACGGGTTGAACGCCAGCCACAACGTCTGAAGCCTCGTCAGCTCACCGAGACCAGCCGCGACGGTGCCGACGAGGCGATTCTGGTCCAGCTTGAGATGCCGGAGGTTCAGGAGGCTGGAGAGCGACCTCGGGATGGTGCCGTTGAACTCGTTGCCGCTGAGGACCAGCGTGGTCAGGCTCGCCGCCAGGCGGTGGCCGATGTTCGCGGGGAGCTCGCCGCGGAAGTAGTTCTCGGAGAGATCGATGTACCGCAGCGAAGCGCAGCGGTACAGCGTGGTCGGGAACACGTCGGTGATGCTGTTGTTGGAGACGTCGAGGTGCGTGAGGCGTGTAAGGCCGCCGACGGCGTCTGGGAACGGGCCGGAGACGTTGGCGTCCGCGATGGTGAGGTTGGTGACGCGGCCCGCCGTGTCGCAGCCCACGTATGGCCACGCGCAGTGTGCGCCCGCGCCCGAGGCGTTCCATCCGGCGAGCACGGGCGGGTCGCCCCACGCGTGCTTGATCTGGAGCAGCAGCTGCGCCTCGTCCGCCGCCGGCTGGGAGGACTGTGGGGCCGCGTGGGGCAGGAGGCAGCAGCAGGGAAGCAGCGCGAGCAGCAGGCCGGGGAGGCACGGGCGTGGTGCCTCCATGCCTCGGCGGGCTTGTTTTCGTGCCGTGGCGTCGGTGGTGCACGGGCACGGCCGCCGCGGTGAACGCGGGAAGTGGAGGTGGTTCGGTAAAGTGCAGAGGGAAGTGTTCTCCCCTGTTTAACACAACTCTACCGTTGACGGCACAAAAGTCCGGTTTGTTTTAGTTAAGCTTTAAAAATGACTTCCATTTAGTTTACGTGGCTTTTTGGTCCGTCCGGACTCCAGAGTGATTCATACGGTGGAGGGTTGAAAGACCGACCTCAGATGGGAAGTGCTCCGGATTCCGGAAGTCTTTGCGGTCTAAAGTATCCGCAAGTACGTGGTTTGATGCCAGTTTAGAGGAAATTCAATTCTGTTCCTCACTGCACAAGTATAAACAACGAAATTTAGGGGTCGTGTGGCCCCCGTCCAAATCTTCATTCTGACGGTCTCCGAAGACTGGTCAGCCCAGCATAATAGTGCTCCGTCAAACACGCAATTAGTGTGGGCCGTGGGCCTGAGCGACGGAGACTCAGAGTCTATTTGCATAATACTCCCTCTGTACTAAAAAACAAAATAAAGTCGTTTTGGACAAGACTTTAGTCAAACATTGAGAATATAAATCATGAACAACTTTTAAATTGTTTGGTTTGGAAATGTGAAAACCATATAAATAGATTTGTTTTGAAAAATACTTTCATAAAAATATACATATATCACTTTTCGGTAAATATTTTTATAAAAACAAGAAGTTAAAGTTATACTTTGGAGACTGTGTCGTTGTCCAAAACGACTTTACTTTTGAGTATGGAGGAAGTAAACAGAAAAAAATTCACTCAAAAAAATTATCAGAAAAAGTCCATTTAACCTAATTCAACTTTCGCCGTTCGGTTTACCTCATCCAACCAAAAAACAGGTTCCTTTTTTTTATATCTCATCCAACATTTAAAACCGCCCGAATTTGTTCATAAGATGAAAGTGATTTTAGTTGACATGTTACTTTATCAAAAATTATAGATTTTTTTTCAAAAAAGTTGTCCAGATATTTTTTTCTCAAGAAAATACTAAAATTAAAATCCCAAAATCCAAACTAATATTAGAAAAATATTTTAGCTTAGAAAAATATGAAACCAGTTTCAATTTTTTTCGAAGATAGTGCTCTATATTATGGTACCTACCTTAGAATTATTTAAATCTTTTAGTCTCCATTGATGTTTATTTGCTGGTAGATGCTCTAGTTATATATGTTATAATTAGTTTGTGTTGACTCAAACGTGCCCCGTCATCTAAATACCATCGTAATGCAAAGAAACGTCCTTTTATTTTCTATTTCTTGTTTATAAACATGCAAGCAAAATATACTTGATGAGATTTGAATTATTAGCACAAAATTAACACAAAACACACGAGAGAATGTTGTGGAATTGAGTTAACAAATTATTACAAACTTTCAATGAAATGTCTGTAATGACTTTGTTAATCTCAAGATCTACCCTCAAAGGAGAAGCGTATGAATGTGTACGTTCATATTTTGAGTGTGAATGCATGTTATGATCATGTGTGTACAAGTAACACCTGTGTTCATATTAAATAGGATCAAGTACGAGGTGGTTACATGTCACCTGTGTTACCACCAAAGTCAATTGAATTTCTAGGTGGTCTAGATCATCAGCAAGACTACTTATAACACATAAAAAGAGAATCTACTAAAAAACAACAATAGATATCATATAAGATTCGAACAATTATATGCTAGGTGCTATAACATAGAGAATGATTTTAGGAAAAATGAAACTAGTGTCATATTTTTTTAGCTAAAACAATTTTCTAAGATAAAATCTGATTTTAGGATTTTTTTTAATTGCATATTCTTACCAGAAAAAAAAATATTTGGATATTTTTTTGAATTTTATTTCTATATTTTTTTTGGTAAACTCTAATTGATCCTGGACGCCGCTGATCCCCTCTAGAAGGTCATGGCCGCTGTCTACGCCGTGGTCGCCACGACACGCGACCTTGGCAAGGAGACGTTGTGATGAAAGCGTATGTTGCAAGTGTTTCAGACGTTTCAGAGTTACGCTGCAATTGTTTCATACTGATGTTGTAAAAGTAGATCGAGAATGTTGCACATGTTGCATATGTTGCAAGTGTTTTAGAGGCATATTGCAAGCGTTTTAGAGGTTTGTTTAAAATATTTCATCTGTTTTATACGTATGGTGCAAGCAATCTGATCTGGATGTTGCATATCTTTTTTCACATATGTTGCAATAATATGTTCCAAATGTTTCACATATTTTAGTCTTATGTTGCAGTAAATGTTTTCATGTTGCAAGTTGCAGGTGTTTATCTAGATATTGTATATATTGTACACATATGTTGCCAGTGTATGTTCCAGGTGGTTCATCTGTTTCATAAGTATGTTGCATTTAAGTGTTTCATGTTGTTCGGAGAGTCAGGGGGCGCGGGGAGTAATGGTGCATGGCACGGGTGCTGAGGAATTGGGTGCGGTGAGCTTGGGACCGGCGAATGGGCGCATGGGGCTGGCGATCGGGGCGTGATGGGGGCGGGGTGCGTGTGCGAGGCGAGTCATCCGGACGCGCGGACGCTGCGATGAGGCAGGGTTCGTATGCGAGGCGAGAGAAAAAAATCTACGGACGAGGGTAGGCTGCGTGGGCGTCCGGGCGCGTGTCCATTCGAACGTCCGCATGCTAGCACTTTCGATTACTTAGGGCCTATTTGGCACAGCTCACAACAACTTCACGAGCTGTTGTGACTCATAATGATATGAGTTGAGATGAAGCTGAAAAAAGTAGCTTATTCCAGCTTTCTTCCACATTTCTCTCTTTCTTCCATGAATGAAGCTGTTGGTGAAACTATTTTTGCTAAATATTTTTTTTAAAATAGCTCAACTTCACCTAGAAAGTTGCTCACAAAGCTATTTTCAAAAAAAAAAAACTGAAGCTGAGTTGTGCCAAACGGAGCCTTAATTAACTCAGAAAAGTAAAAAATCACATTCGAATGCTTAGCTCTCGGGATCACGTGTCACTCACCAGATGGAAGGGACACGCCATATCTCTATCCTCTTCTATTAATCGTACTAATATTTTGAAGGGTTAATTGGATCTGTGCCATTATAATTTTTTCGTTTATGAAGAACGCCATTAATATTCGTCTATTTGAAAGCATGTCATTACAATTTTCGTTTCCCACAAAAATACCACTGAATACATATGGACACAGCCTGGACCTAGCTGCAGGCATATACGAAGACATATACTTCATGTTCCTGTCACTGACACACAGGCCCCACATGTCATCTTTCTCTTCCTCATCTCTCTCTCTCTCTCTCTCTCTCTCTCTCTCCATCCCGACGCGGCCACGGCGGGCGCCGCTGCCGGCACTCTGGCGGGTGTGGGCTTCTTGGGCGAGCCGACGAGTCATTGTCGTGACCCACGCCTTGCCGCCGCTCGGCGTCTTCTTGCTTCTTCCTTCCCAAGTGGCGCCTCCTCCTCCATGGCCGGCGTCCGGCGGACCTCCTCCTCCATGGATACGGCAGGTGCGGTCCCATCCCCGTCCCCGCGAGCTCCAGCAGGCACGGCCCCTTCCCCACCAACAGCCCAGGGCGCTGCTGCTGCTCGCCTGCTTGCTTGCCCATGGCGTTGCTCGGCGTGCTGTTGCTCGCCGTGGCCGTATAATGGCGGGCTACTGTGTGTGTGAGAGAGAGAGAGAGAGAGAGAGAGAGATAGCCGGAGAGGGAGCGCTTGTGAAAGCCGATGGAAGCAACGGAAGGGCGCAAGATGGCTTGTGTGAGGAGATCGACGAGCTCTGGTCGACCCCGGCAATGGCGGCGGCGGTGCTTGGTGGAGGCGCTGGAGCAAGGAGGGCTTGTGCTGCTGCTGCTGCTGCTCGCGGCTTGGAGATGCCCATCTTCCCGAGCGCGGCCATCACCTCCTCCCCGAGGCCGAGCTCCTCGAAGCTCTCGGCGGCCTCGACCCTCTTCCCCTTCCCCTGCTGCGAGCTTCGCTCCGCGGCCCTCAAGGCGGAGGCGCTCGAGGAGGAGCTCGTGCCGCGGAGGGGGAGCGGGAGTGGAGGTGGGGCTGAGGGTGGGGGCGGCGGTGGAGAGGGTGGCGCGGAGGAGGCGGAGCCGAAAAGGGGACGGGCGGGAGGAGGCAGCGACCCGCGGCGGCAGCGACCCGCGGCGGCTTGGCGCTCGGGATGGAGAGAGAGAACTGGAGAGAGATTCGGAGAAGAGGAGGAAGAAGATGACATGTGGGGCCCGCGTGTTAGTGACAGGGGAGATGAAGTATACGTCTTCGTATACGCCTGCAGCTGGGCCCAGACTGTGTCCATACGTATTCAGTGGCATTTTTGTGGGAATCGAAGAATTATAATGGCATGCTTCCAAATAAACGAATAGTAATGGCGTTCTTCAGAAACGAAGAAATTATCAGCCTGTTCGCTTGGTCGTAAACGATCGTAAATTTCCACCCGGAACAGTGTTTTTCTCTCACACCAAACCAGCCAACAGTAAATAATCCACGATCGTTTACGGGCTCCCGAACAGGCTGTATAATGGCATAGATCCAATTAACCCTATTTTGAATGCATGTGCACAAGACCTGCATTTGTTTCAGAAAGAAATTGTTATCGTAACCTTTGCTATTTGTTCTGTTTTAGTTGTCTAATGTGTGCGCTTAAAACAAATCTACAGTCTCCAAACACAAATTTAGAGTCAAGACGTCTGGTGACAAGTTTGGAAGCATGATTTCCCTGCTGTACTCTACTGAAATGTAGTATGAAGCATCGCTATAGCTGTTCATTAACGCTGTCCTAACTTACTGATATGTGCGGTGGTCGGTTCCTTTCTTCAGAATACACTGTTCCGGCTGGTTTGAACTTTGACTGAAACTGTGCTGAAAAACTACGGTTCAGTTAAATTGATGTAAGAGAAAAACACTATTTCGACTTAAAAAATAAGTCGAACAAGCAAATTTAAGAGAAGCCAACGGGTCCAATGCTGT